ATTAAAATATTCATTGTCTATCTTTTTTTCTTCTAATTTTCATAAAAGACTTTCTAAAAAAAGAACAATGTATAATTAGTTTTTTTTTGCTCCACTTAGTCACTATGAAAATTTTATTTCCATTTCATTTCTATCCTTATTATATTACAGTTTTTTATGAAAGAAGTCTCAGTTAGTTTTTGCTTCTCTTACTCACAGTGAAAAATTTAATGCCAGTTTCTAGATGTAATTTTAAAATAAAAAGTGATTTAATCATGTAAATTTGTTTTATTTCAGTTGTCCTTTCAACATGGCATTCGTGCTCCACCAGTGGTACATGATGGAAGGCGTGGCTTTATTTTAGCCATCCGTATAAAATAAATACTTCATATAGGACTTTGGAGATATGAGGTACAGTTATATCTTATGGGTGCTGTGTACCACTGGTGTCGCATGATGTTGTGAATGTGTTAACTGAAGTTTGTAATAATCAGAAATAAAATTGCTTTGACCACTAACATAAAAACGTGATCATTGTGAAGATTTTGAACAGAGTTTAGCACGTTAACATGATCGATTTACATAATGTCCAGAAGTTGTGTCTTAGATTTGGACACGACTTTGTGTATGTAATGTCTAATGACTACTGAATATCACAGAAGACCTAAATATGTTGTAGGTTTGAACACGACTTTGGGTACGGTTAATGTCTAATGACTACTGAATATCACACAAGGCTTAAGTATGTTGTAAGTAACAAAACTAGTGTGTGTAATAGCATTACTTTCTATATGAAATACTAAATATGTACCTTGGGGTTCCCAGTAAATCATGCAGTAAACATTATGAGTTGTTTCTCAGTTTCATGAATCTTCCAACAAACCCCTCCTTTGTTGAGCGTAAGTCTTTGCTAATTAACCTTGTTCAGTTGGTAAACTTAAGCAATCAGAAAGAACACTGTATCTTTAATTGTGTTACAGGAGTTTAGAAAGGGAGGGATCACTGCTAAGAGCTGTATGGCACATCTGCCAGTAAAAACATCCAATGAAATAAAGTGTGCTGTTACGTTTTGGATGTATGATTAACAACGAACTAACTTTGATGGCCAGTTGATAACCCCGTATGCTTCTATGGTAATTTCATGTGAGAAATCTGCCGAGTTTAGGTTGCATTTGTTTGTTTTCTCGCAAAGCCGAACAATGAGCTATCTGCAGTCTGTCTATCAGGGGGAATCGAACCCTGGATCTTAAGAGTTGTAAGTCTGTAAACTTATTGCTGATTCTCTGGGGGATGTTTAAGTTTGTAATCAGATAAAAGCTCTTACACAGTGAAGATTTTTTTTAAAGCAAGAAAAAAGTTAAAAGATTGAGACAAACCTAAGCAGAAAATTTAAATTTGCAAAAAAAAAAGATCGCTAAATAAGTACTGTAATTGTTTTGAGTGATGATGATTTGAAATGTTAGAATGTTGGTATCTTTGACAGTAAGAAAGGTCAAGAATTAATTACTAGTGTTTCGTTTTATATATAAAAATGTATAAGCACAGATATTGTGGTACATAGTGACTAGTGTGTCCTTTAATCAATTTAACCACAAAAAATGGTTTGATGTTGTATATCACTTTGTAAAATTACAGAAAGGAGGAGATAGTCTATTGCAAACATTTTATTTGTGCTTTCATATTGTTATGACAGTGGAAGTCGCGTGACGTGGTAACACGTCATGAGAATCTCGAAGGATCTTGACTTTTCCTGGTAACTGTAGTCTTTTCTAGGTGCCCTCTTTTATTGTATATAAGCCTGGCAAATAAAGCGGAGATGGAGAGCAGATAGAGAGATATAGAGACAGATAACTGAGTCAAGTGAGTGGTAGTGACCGTAAGTAAAGTGCGTGAATCGTTGTGAATTATAGCATCTGTTTAAGTTAAAGTCACTGTGGAAATTCTGTGTATTGCAAAGTTGTATTGAGAAAGAATAAACTAGTATCACTGAAGTTCCTCGGGAAGAATTTATACCGGAAATTAACAAACGACCAGAGACGTAACAAATTGGTGTCAAAGAGTGGGACGGGAAAGAGAGAGAAAAAAACTAGAAAAAGATGGAAACGAGAGGTGGCAAATCAAACTATAGCTTAGCAGATTTGAGTGTAGCAATACAAGAACAGCAAAAGAAACAAGAAGAGAGACAACAGCAGTTGCAAGAAAACCTGCAACAGTGGCAGCTCGAACAGCAAAATAAACAAGAAGAGAGATTACAGCAGTTGTTGGAGGAAAAAGAAAAGAAACAAGAAGAGAAATTACAGCAGTGGTTGAAGAAAAAAGAAGAGAGATTACAGCAGTGGCAAGAAAACTTGCAACAATGGCAGATCAAACAGCAAAATAAACAAGAGAGATTACAGCAGTTGTTGGAAGAAAAAGAAAAGAAACAAGAAGAGAGATTACAGCAGTTGTTGGAGGAAAAAGAAAAGAAACAAGAAGAGAGAATACCGCAGTGGCA